AAAAAATATTTTTTTTTTAAAAAAAAAAAATAAAAAAAAATAGGATTTGACCAGATTATCTGATCAATCCGGTCAATCCAGTCATCCGTGTAATATCCGATCTAGGATTGCTTGCCAAAACTAGAGTTTCGCAAAATTACCTGAAGTTTCAGTTAGGATTCAATCATTTATTGATCGTTGATAATCTAATAAAAATCAATACTTAAAAAAAAAAATATTTCATTTTTTATTTTTTTTTTGTAGGTCAGACTCCTATTTTTTGTAGAATGCCGGACCTTGAAGACCAGGATGAACCGTCGAACCAATAAAGGTAATGTGGGAGAAGGAGACTGGGATTATGTGTTTTACTGTAATTAAGAAACGTTTTTAATGTTTCTTTCTTTTTTTTTATAGAACTAGGATGCCGGACTCTTGAAAACGAACCTGGACTTGGAATGTGTGTAAGGAAAGAGAAAGGGTTAATATTAAAGAAACGTTTTTAACGTTTCTTTCTTAATTTTTTTTATAGAACTAGGACGCTAGACTCTTGAAAGCGAACCCGGACTTGGATAATGTAAGGAATGGGAAGAGGGGGAAATGTTTTTTTAATATTATATAAAGAAACGTACTTACGTTGCTTTCTTTATTTTTTTGTAGGGTAGGGCGCTGGACTCTTGAAAACGAATCCGGACTTGGATAATGTTAGGAATAGGGGAGGGGAATTGGTTTTTTGAATATTAAAGAAACGTACTAACGTTTCTTTCTTTGTTTTTTTGTAGGACTAGGATGCCAGACTCTTAGAAAGTGGACTTACACTTGATGTAAGTTGGGTGGGTGTAGTGTGTCATGTGTGTTAAATAAGAAACGTTTCTAATGTTTCTTTTTTCTTTTTGTAGGAAAGCCAGATGAAATTACGAACCGGACTTTTGAGTGAAGGTATTAATGGAAGAGAAATTTACTTCTTTTAGTAACATTACTAATGTTACATTTTTTTCTTTTATTGTAGGAACGCCGGACGAATTATACGAACTGGACTTTAGTGAAAGGTAAATGGGAAAGGGGGAGTTTCACGTTTATTTTTTTTTCCTTAGTAACATTACTTTTTTTTTCTTTTGTAGGTTCTTGGAGTTTCTAAATAAATATTTATTATTTGATATTATGAAAAATCAGTGATTTACCATGTTGACTGGTATGCATGATAGGTGACAAATAGGCTACCAATAAGTACCCGATTTGTGACTAATTGGTATATTTAAGTAGGGTTTTGTATTATTTAAAGCGATAAAGAGTTTAACTTGCAGTGTAATTCTAGTATAAATAGTATAAATGCATTTTTTTTATTAATTATAATAATAAGGTTAAAATCCATGGCCCAATCAGAATTTGTTATTGTAATCAGGCGATTGATCACATGATTTCGGTATTTATATTTCGCACTTTGTTTATTTTTTTTTTCTTTCGTAAAAGCCCTTTCTCTTAAACTTTTTATTTAAAACAAACTCTTTACTTAGTTATTATGAAATAATATTAATATATTTTTTTTTTTATTTTTATATTTAGAAATAAACATAAAGGTATATTTTCATTATGCTTGTTTTTTTCTTTTTATATATACATTTTCTATTGACGTTTTAATACTTTTTTTCTTTTCTCTCACTAATGTTTTCTACCACTTAACATTTTCTATTAATATTAAATACTACTAACATGTTTTTATTAACATTCTCCTATTAACATTTTCTATTTTACTAACTTTTCTTTCTTCCTACTAACATTTTTACTAATATTTTCTATATTTACCACTAACGTTTTTATTAACATTTCTATTTTATTTTCTCCTATTAATTAATATACTTACTAATATTTTCACTGATATTTCTTTTAAATAATAAACAGATATAACAAAACAAGTAAAGAGGTAATTTTATTATCATTGCTACTTTCAGTAGAACTTAACATATTACATAGTATAATTATGTTCAACTTTATTTGATTTTACGTAGCAGATAGTGTAAGATTTGTATTATTGCTTTTATGTAAATAAATTTATAAATTTTAATAAAATTGAATTTCATTTAGCCCAAATTAAAATAAAAAAAAAGAGATATAAATCTATTAGTTTTAATATGAAATTGTCAAACGTATACAATAAAAATATATATTACCAATATTTTACATATTTTACTACCCGATATATGTGTGTTAAATGTATGATATCTATAATATATATCACTGATATTTTACTACCCGATATGTGTGTGTTAAATGTATGATATCTATAAGATATGTCACTGATATTTTACTACCCGATATGTGTGTGTTAAATGTATGATATCTATAAGATATGTCACTGATATTTGACTACCCGATATGTGTAAGATGTGTATATGATGTTTACATGATGTGTCACCAATTTTCTACATTTATACTACACATATCAGGTACCCGATATGTGTAGTATTGTTAAATATCATACACATATATTACATATATTATACACATATCAGGTACCCGATATGTACCCAATAGCACCAATTTTGACCAGTGGTAACTTGAGGTACATAACATGCTACGCTAAAAATGGTGTTTCAGTTTTCATTACCGGAAGTTATTGTTAAAAAACCAGAACCAATACGTGATCTAAATATTGATACACAAATCTTTGAAATATCAAAAAAAATGCGAGATATTATTTTCAAAATAAATGAAATTTTTATAAGTTTGCTGGCATTCCGGTACAATGAAAGACAAGAACTAGAATACAATAAGATTGATCTTAAAGCAATAAATTCAGAAATATTAAGGCAAACAGAATTCGGCTGTAATCTTCCACCTCTAAACGTAGTCATACTAGAACCAAGTGGATCCCCAAATGATGATAACGAAATCTTACGTGCTATGGAAATATATAGAAGAGATTTTTCTTTGGAGGAGAATGATTTTCTAGATATTTGTGCAGATGAGGCGATATTTAGACGATTAATTAAATGCCGCAATAAATCAGAAAATATACGGCCTATTCTTGGTCAGTGGCACACCTCAAAGGATATGATGAGCGCCTTGGTTACATTCACTAGTCGAAAAAAGAATATTCGGCCTTAATACAATTTGGCCTATATTTGACTAGAATTAATAAAATTTGACTTCAATTAGTAAAGATCTATGATTAGACATATATTCAACCTAGTTGAATTATGTTAATCAAACGTTATGCGTTATGCGATACGTGTATTAAAATAAAAGTTTAAAAAAGGATGATCCTTTTTTAAATTTTTTTAATTTTCTTCTTTCCCTACTCGCCCTTTCCCTTCCTTCATTCCCCTTTTCCTTCGTCCCAGTTTCTCTTCTTCCCCTTTCCCTCCCTTCGTTCTCCTTTCCCTTCCTTCGCTTTTCCCTTCCTTACCCTTTCCCCTTTCCTTTCGTCACTTATCTCTTTC